CAAGGAGAGGGGCGGGGCGGGCGGCAGCGCCAGCTCCTCAAGGCCCAGCTGGGCAGGCACCGCCCCCACGCCCCTCCCAACGCCGGCCGCGGGGCGGGGCCGCGCGCGTCACTTCCGGCGGGAGGCGCTTTGAGGGCGGTGCGTGAGGCGGGAGGGTCGATGTCGCCGGTCTCTGTGGCGGTGGCCGCGGCCCTGAGCCCGCCAGGAGGCGGCGGTGAGGTCGGAGCCGGGCGGGAGGTGACCAGCGGTGCGCAGGGCTCCCCTTGGCCGGCTGGGAGCCCGCCCGCAGTAGGTGAAGCTCTAGGGCAAACCGCCCTGGAGGGCTGGTGGGTGGAGGCCGGTGGTTGTGGGGGGGCTGCCCTGCCCCTCAGCGCTCCCATGGCCTCAGTGGGGCTGGAGCTTCTCACAGCCGCTCATTCTGTGATTCTGTGATCAGTCAGAGCCTTCCCCACAGCTTAGTAGGAGTTAAGTGTAAAAATTCCTGAGCTATACGTCTGGCAGCAGCCGTAGAGGTAGCTTCAGTTCCTTTTCTGTACATAATGATGTACACAAAACAGCACAAGATATACCGACACATTTGAGGGTGGTGGTTTAACCCATCTGTTTTTGTTGAATTGTTACTTCTTGTATTCCACGCACACATGGATTTTGCAGTGGGCCAAACTAGTCTTGGAATGAATTACAAAAATACTGCGTCAGCAGTTTTTCAGAGGAGATGCTCAAGTTCACATTGTTGCAAGGACAATGCGGTTTTTTGTTTTTTTTTTTTTTTTTTTTCTCTTCAGTCTATTTTATAGATAGTACTATGGCACCTAATGTGCTAGCAGAGAAATTATCAAATGCTTGATTGGTGGACCGGAGCTGGTTTGTGCAGAGGGCGTGGTGGTACAGCCAGGGCATGACTGCACCTTACATGCTGGCTTTTATTGTTGGTTCCTGCTGCTGCAGTTTATTTCAAATTTCATAAATATTCTCCTGTGTTAGCAGCTTCAGAGTTTCTGTAAGCATAGAAAGTGGTTCACATCAGGTAGAAGCTGGTGTACGCCATGTGTGTTCTACTCATAGGGAGATAATTTACAGCAGAATTAGAAAGGGGATTATGCTGAGGAAACTGTCCATCATATAGCAAGTTTCAGATTAAAATAGGGTTATAGAAACATAGATGGAGATTACTAACTGGGTTCTGTACCTGACTTTGTATTTTAATGATTACATGGAAAGACTTACTAAGGCTGGCTTTGTGTTGTGTAACTTGTTCTACATTTTATCTTACTGTGTTTTGCGAATTCAAATGCAGATTTTGATGTGAATACTAAAGCATGCATATCCAAGAATACTGCAGAAGGCAAGAATTATGTACAATTGAAGTAGTGAAATTAGATTAATCTTGTACTTGGTACATGATTCAAGCTTCAGTCACAATCAATATGTGGAATGATTAAACTTACAATGGGTCAAAATATGAAGGTGGCTCTAATTAAAGCAGGCTTACATGCTCTTACTAGTCATGCGCTTGAGGAAAGAGAAGAAAAGAGATGAAAAGAGTAGAAGCGTGTGGTGTTCTTACATATGCAGCTTTAATCTGGTCTCTTGACAGCATTATGAACTGGCTGATGCTGATAGTATAAGTGATAATCTTGCTAATTTATCTGTAAATGTTACAATAAGCTGACCTCACTAAGGAGTGAGTTCCTTAGATCCTTTTCCGTGTGTGCACATAGACAGACTGGGAACACTTTAGCAAGAGTTGCCTTGTTGATAACTTTTGGTCTCAACATGTTCCTGCTTGCTGGAAATAGAGCCAGCTTTAAGCTAATGAAGTCATATTGCTGTTACCTTGCTGTAAGGAAAGAATCTAATCTAAGGACTCTAAGCAAATCAGACTTGATAAATACCTTGTGTGATGAAAGGAGAAAGAAATAACTTGAACACACTGTTGAAAACTGCATTTTGAAATTTTCTTCTCTATGCAAACCAGCTTTTTGTATCTTGAAGTTCAATACCACTCTTCTGTCCGCACAGAGAACAGGAAGAAAAGCACAACTATGTTTTGTCTATTGAAACTGGCATCTCTTTGTGGCATGCCTCAGTATGTGTCACATTGTTAGGAAAGGGGAGGCTCTAAGACTCCTTAATTTGAGGGTGAAGTACTTGGGTGACACAATTTGGAGAAAATACAGGGGCCCCACTGGCTCAAGGTACTCCAGGATCCTAAATTCAGCTTGGAGAGACTTAATCTGTTTTGGTTAAGGTTGCCAATACTTTTTGTTCTCTTTTGTATTCAAGTGGACTGAATACTGCTTTCCTAACCCCCACAACTATGGGAAAGCTGACTGAAACAGGCTCTCCAATTTTTAAGTTAATTTTAGGTGATCTTGTCTCTTGCTCTCTCCTAACAAGCCTATGTACCACAGGAAGGGGAGGCAGTAGTGTCAGGTTCCTCAGTTCTTAGGGCTCTTGGAAAGGCACCTGGAGGGTTTTTTTTCTCTAAAAATTTGGACATGAAAAATTTCAGGTTCTGGCATTTCTGTTGTCCGCATGTATGACAAAGTGCCCTAGGATGCCCAAAGTTCTCCAAGATTGAGGTGGCATAGACCAGGATCCAAGATGATCCAGAAACCCCTATTTGAGACATCAGAGGCCCCGCTGGACTGTGTCCTGGCTCCTGCAAAACTTGGACAATCCAACTCACCACACGTAGAAATCTCAGCCATTGCAAAACTAAGTGCAGGTCAACAAATTCAAAGAGTCATTTCTAAGAATCAAAACTGTCAACTTTATAGGAAATAGGCTAATCCATCCAGAAAAATTCTTAGTCCATTTGTATTTACTCAATAAACCGTTGTTGACTACATGCAACAAAAAGCATTGAGCAAGATCCAGTAAACTACTTACTATGATTTTGTGCCCTGAATATTAAGATGATTTTTGGATTGTACTGTAGAGTTTTGGACTGTTAGCAATATATTAAGCACAATCATGAAGAATGAATACTCCTGAAGAACATGGAAAACAACTATTGAAGAAATATGACTGTTTTGATGTTGTCTGCTAAACACAGCAAAACAATCTGATCCAACATATACATAGGGATTCAGTATGTAATTTTTAAATTATTGAACACCTTAATGTAAGAATTCAGTTCAGATTCTGTACAACAAAATTTCAAGCTCAGTTATCTTCTTTCTTTCTTCTTCTCCAAGTTCACTTTTTCAGCCTTCCAGGCCAAGTGAAGATGCTTTACTGCTTTAAGGCACAAGAGATTGTTTAACGCTGTTGGGAATACGACTGGCATAATAGTCATAATTTCTCAAAGTGGCAAGGACCCCAGCTGAATTCATGTGTTTCACTTCCTTGTTATACTGAAATGAATTTCCATGGATATCAGTTATCTTGCCTAAAAAATAAAAAAATAAAAAATAATATTCCAGCAAACAGGATTTGGAGAGAGAATCTATTTTATTAGTAAGTGACGTAACTAAGAAAATAGACAGTCTTTCGGTGCCTGTCTTCAGTTGTGAAATATCTTTGCTCCCAGTTTAAGTGCAACAGTTTCTTACTGACTGAAATGAAATAGCTAATGATTTTATTTTCTTTCAGCAACACCTAGATTCCTTGTGTTTGAAGAAAATGAAAACAACATCTCCCGCCTATGGATTAATTAAAATGCTTCCTGAGTAGTTAATACATTGGTTGATGAGAAGAAGGAAAGAAAAATCCTCAGTACAAGTAAAAGCCAGGGTAAGCCTATACAACAAACTCTTAACATAATATAGAATTACTCCAGCTGGTTTTAAATGAGTTTCTGGAAATCACTTAACGAGAGCACACAGATCTTTATGCAAGCTAATTTAACCACGAAATACCTACATAACAAGGAGGCTAAATACAGCACTGTGCTGCCCCAGATAGGTTGGGTTTTGTGCCTGAACTAACCTGTTTAAAGCTATCCCAGCTGTCAACACTACAGACTGCAGAGGAGTTAAATAATCTCGTTATGAAGCGTGTTATCCTTGCTTGACAGAATTTAGGAGATCAAAACCCCACAATTTTAGCACATGGTGGTGAAAGATCTATCGATGTGAACAGCAGAGAAAGCATAATAATACTACTCAAAATCTTGTCAGTGAGACTTTTCATAATTTCCCTAACCCCTTACCTTACCCCTGTGAAAAGTGAGAAGGCTTATGTTGGCTGGAGTCCACTGATTTTACTGAATTACATGAATGACTCAATTTTAGATTTTGCACATCCAAGGAACAACTGGATAATTTGACCTATTTTTGTTGTTTTAAAGAACTCAATGTCCACATATTATATAATATGTTACTAATAATAAACTGCTATATCCAGTTAGTAGGACAGTGTGATTTTACTGTGAAATAGTAGCCAACAGAAAAAAGCCATTTGTTTTGAAAATATTAAAATTAATATAACTACAATTTTGGAATTTGTCTTTAAATTATATGACAGTTATTGACTATATTAGACAAGGGCAAAACAGATCATGTCATGCTTTCCAGAGCATAATTTGCTACCCCTTTGAAGTTACTCTTTATTTCAAAGTGCTCAAAGCTCCTAGTGAATCGTGACTATTTAAAAATAAATATAAACTGTCATTTTCCTTTTCAAAGACATGTTTTGAATTTTTTTTTTCCTATGAAAAGTATAAATAACTTCTAATTTATGCAGTTTCACTTATCTTGGATTTTTGAATGCTACTAACTTACCTCCCACAGCATGTAGAATAGCTTCAGGTGCACATGTATCCCATTTCTTGCACCCAGGACTGGCAAATACATAAGCAGATGCCTTGCCTTCTATAAGCTGAATGATCTGTTATGAATAGAGAGTAGCAATCATTTAGAAAGGATCTAAGCATTTAGAAACGGGTGAAAACAACACCAGGAGACAGTTTATTTTATTTACTTACAGTCAGAAAAGGAACACCAGCCATTTCCTTTCCAATATTACAAGAAATTATGTTAAGATCTACAAAGCTATACTGTATTACCATTCTGCATGATCTATTTCTGATTGTTACAAATACAGTCTATAGGACGAAAATCTGCTTTTAGTTTCAGAAATAAGAATTCCCATTTTGTGCAAGTACTAAGAAAATAAAGTAGAAACTATCTCCATGTTGTCTTGGTGCCATTCTGGGCCTTGCACATGTTGGAGAAAAGAGATTGGAGAGTGGTTTTGACAACCCTGACAAAACTAAGCTTTCAAAACTGCAGCAAATGAGTATTCCCTGTACACAGAGAAGTTTTGCAAAGGAAATATCACTGTGTGCGGCTTTTTTTTATCCTTTCATATGTGCTGATAGATAGTTGGAACAAAAACTGCATTGACATGAACAGGAGGAAATGCCTAATAATTGTAATTAAACTGAATTCCCATTTAGTCATTCTGGTCTTATAACTTTTTATTTTCTCCCCTAGAAAGACCATACTGGGGAAGATGGACTTCAGCCATGACCAGTACAGCCACTGTTACAAATATACCTGTACCAAATTCTTTCTGCCTCACAGCAGACTGAATGCTAGGAAGAGAAGTTGTGCTGGGGAAGGAGGAGGATGTCTCCTGTACACTCATGTAAGTAAGCAAATGATTTCTTTCAAAATTCTTTTTCTTTTTCCGAAGGTACCACTTTCCACTAAACACAAAAGATTTGGAGTTTTCATACCTTGTTTCCTGCCCCTCCAACTCTGATGACAGTGTCTGGGTTCAAGGCACTGATGCAGTCATTTACCAGGGCACTGCTGTGAGAACGAGTGGTAACAACGATGTGTTTCCCAGCAGGTGCTTCTGTGAGCTGAAATCCAAAGGCACCTATGCCCAGGACTCCCCAGATTGTCCTACCCAACACAGCACCAGCTCCTGCCTACAAAAAAGATACACAGGTCCAGATGATAGTCAGTCATAGTGATCAGTATTTAAAGCACAAATGGAGAGCAGTACCGAGAGAAATCTTTGCTTATTAGGGAGTATAATATTAATACTGGGATATCAATTTAAATGTAGCACTTAAAAAGAATTACTCTAGAGCCCTGAGTGAGAAATCAGCTCTCTTTCCCTCCAAGGCAATGACATAATTTTCCATTTTCTTATCTGTGACATTGTGGTGATGCATTATGTCCTGCCTCTAATGACTGGCAAATTAAGATTTGTATTTATCTCCACTTCAGGCACAATCTATAACTGAAAATATCTTCATTGTAATTTTATATGTTTCATCATAGGTACTGCATAGAACATACAGAATGAGCTGATGATATGCATTACATCGGCTCAAAAGCTTTTTCTTTACATTCTAGTGAGTTTTAATTAATCGGACTATACCCTGAGGTTTTTTTACCCCTTATAGATAATACTGAAAAAATCTCCAAACATGTGTAAATGCCTGTAGGTTGGCCATCCTGGACTTGCACCTGAAACCTGGCCTCCTGATACACTCTAGCCCATCTGTCAGTGACAGGTACACTTGGTGTATTTAGGGCCGCAGATATGTGGCAGTTAGTACACATCTCAAGTGCACCTACTGCATGGATTTACTAAAGAATTTCTAGCAAAGATAGCAAAAACACCAATCTGTATTTGTTTTACGGTATGTACTTTATATGTACTGTAGTAATAGGTACAGTATATATGTAATATATGTAGTATATATATAATATATACTATATCAGTGTATTATACACGCCTCAGAATTCAGTATGGCTGTTATTAGGTCCCTGAGATTCAGTTCCTGGAAACCAACATTCAAAATTGTATATATTTAATAACACCAACACCACCTTATATTACAACATTAACTCCACTACACGCTGCTTTTCAATTGAAAGTGTGCCAACAGGAAAAGGCTTAGAAGTGGCAGGTAGAAATCACCTAATGCTTTTAAACAAATCAATGCATTTAATACCTCATAGTTGTAATATGGCTGGTTAATAACTCCTGCTATTGCTTTGCCTCCATAAGCAATTCCAATGAGAACTGTTACGTGGTCAAGGAGACCTGTACAGAAATAATATGAAAGTAGTTATGCTTGAAAAAGAGAAAGTATACATATAAAAAAAACAAACCTTCTATAAAAGTCCACAAATTGATAGGCAGGGTGGTATCTTAAAAATGCAAATAATAATCAGGATTTTCAGGTGTAATAGGTTGGTTGATTTAGTCATTTAGGCTTGAGGCCTGCAAAAAAAATTCCCCAGATAGAATTGTCTTAATAGACCTATGTCATAATTAACACATAATGAGGAAGAAGTTTAAAGATACCAATAAATAGCAGTATATGATGACATTCTATAATTGTGAATTCTTTAATAGTATTCAAAACTAGCAATTTGTTGTCAGTCACATCTCTTTCACTGAAAAAGGGCTTGGGGAGAGGGGGTAAGGAAGAGGAACCTGCCTAAAAGATTTTACAGTAATCAACTAAAAATGCAACAGAAGCCTAAAGTCAGGTTTCAGCATATTGGGTTTGGAGGTTTGTTTTTTTTTTTTTCTTTTTTCCCTTTCTTCATTTTAGGGTCATTTTCTATGAACACAAATCAGGCTTTGCTGAAAACAGTTTCTTCCCTTAACTGAAAAATTATGAGTTGCAGGGAGATGTTGTTTTATTTTGAAAGGGTTACAAATACAGCTGTGGTATTTGGTTTGTTTGAAGAGGAGGATGTAAATATAATTGAGCATATTCCTGTGCAAATGGGAGATTTAGTCCCTCAATTCAAAGTATATATGAAATTATAAGTTTGATTACTGTCAGGTTTTCTTAAGCTTTTAGTCAAAGGCAGCCTTTTCCTCCCTGAAATGATAAAAACCAGTGGGCACTCAGTAGCTCATGATTAAAAAAATTCCAGAGAATTCAAAAAGTACAGAAACAACATCAGCCTTATGAAACAATGTCATATGTAACTTCTATCATAAAACTGTCTATATGTACATGCTACTTTTAAATCAGTAGAATTAAGAGAAGCCAACCTTCAGTGTACTCCTTGGTTCCATCCAAAGGATCAACCCATATTACAAGCTTTAAAAATAAAAAATAAAGAAAATTGACAAACACAAATAGTATAAATTACCATTAAAAGCATATATTCTACTTTAGTGCTTTTATTTAAACAGTAAGGAAATAAAGAGATTAAAATTTTTAACACTATGATATGACTGAAGCCTACACTAGTATTTTACAACAAAGAAGCTTAAAAACTGACTAGAACGTCTCAGCAAGTATCTTAATAGAGGTACAAAGGCTTAAGCTGAACATGGTACATTACTTTCTTATGTCCAAAGTAGATTCCTTCCAAGTTAACTTGAATCACAAGTTGTAAGAAGCAAATTTCCATTTCATATTATTGCACACAGGGACATGCAGCATTTCCAGCTCTGGAGGTGTGATTCTCATGACATTTCAGTTTTCAAACAGAGAAAAATTGGCAACATTAAAATAACCTTTTTTTAAATACATTCTTAGCTAAAATCAGTAAGTAAGATAGTGTAAAAAGACATACGTATAACATTACCACATTACCTCTTCCTCTTTAATTCCTGCATACTGAGCAGGACAAGTTTTCTTCAGTATTTCTTCACAGTGGCCATCTTCAATTAATTCCTCAGTTACCTCATCAGCGGACAGTTCCTAACAAAAGGATTCTTAGAATTATTAGGAAAAGGTGTTGGACTCACTTCAATTTTTCTTAGAACTGTAAATTTGCTTGCAGCTTATTTGACAAAGTCTATGCAATTGAAAGATGAAATGGGATGGAAATATGTAGTTGTTTTTTTTTTTTTAACAAAAAAAAGGCACATGACTTCCTAAAACCTGCCAAAGCAAATTCCGCTGCAAGTTATTAAGCAAGTTAAATTGTTAGTATGAAATAAACTAGGTACTTACTTCTTCTCCTATGATTGTCACCTTGGGAAACTTCCGTGCCAGGGAAGCACAAATGCTCATTTGTACCAGTCGGTCAGCTTTGGTCTGCAGGTCATTGGCTCCGGTCTGTCAGATAGGAATTTGTTTATTTCCAAAGAAACAAGAAGAAAACAAAAACAAAACAAAAAAAAAACAAACAAAAAGCCAGTACAATGTCCCACATGTCACTCTGAATACCTATGCTGTAATACAAAAGAAGTCTAATTTGATACATCTTCAACCTAGTAAGTGATTTTGATAGAGGCAGGCTACAAACTGAAAGCAGAAGAGTTTCCCTGTAGGCCCCAGAGCTAAGATAGACTGGTACAATATTAGAACAATATTTACATGCTGTGTTGTTCTCATGTACTGCTGCAGTTGTGCTGAATACATATTTGTGTAAATACTACACTATGTACAGAAAAAATTAATAACAGTATGGACCCAGATATAATAGAAGAAGAGGTAAAAGCAAAAATCAAGATGTTAACAGAAAAAAAAATATTTTAAGGCTCACTGGAGACACATGGCATCTTAGAAAAGAGGAGAAATACAGCAAAGGTGTTAGTAAAAGGTGGTTTAAAGGTCCAATTAACTTAGCTTGTTTAAAAAATAATAATGGAAACAATTCTGATGTATAAACTTCTAAATAGTGAATGGCTTTTTCAATGCTTTAATAAGGAATACTTCTTGTATCAGAGAGGTGAGGACTGTATTTCCTTCCCCGGTGGCTAATCTTCAGAAGTATACCACTTTGACCTATATCTAATTCAGCATTAGTAAGAGAAATTATATTGGAACAAAGTACCTTCTCCACTATCCCCAGATCTCCTGCAGCCATTACATTTCTAACAATTGTTGCAGCTTTTTCCGCGACAGAGTATGCAGAGGCGACCACGCGCATGAGTAGAGCTGGAGAAGCCATTCTGAGTGCTGAAAAGAAACAAAAAACAAACTTGTACATTTCTCTCTTCAAGAGAAGGTAAGAAGGAAAATATTTTACATAACATTCCAAACAGATACACTTTAAGCAGAGTAGTAAGGGGAAAGCGGGTTACTGGCAGTGAGTAGTAATGAAGTGAGTTTTGCCTTTTTTAAAAATAGAGTTAAGAAACACAGAGATATAAAGCTACTTTAGACAAGATTTTTTCAAATATCCATGCTCTGACAGTGAACCTAATTCCCCTCACTGGAGAATTTAATTTTATTTAACCTGGCATTAGAGAACTGCAGAAGCTCTTTACCATAAATGTTAAGAAAAACTGTAGTCTACACAGAGTACTCATTTTTTGTACAATTTGAACATAAGTTGATTTTTTTTCAGAACTGAACCTACAGAGTTGGTTTGTGTCCAGACTCAAGTACAAAGCTACCAGACAGGATGATGAGAGCAACTTTACTTACTATTTTTATTTGTTTAAATATAAAATAAGCTTTTGCAGATGGCCTAACTGTGGACACAAGACAGCCCAATGATAGGTAGATACTGCAAACACTGCACTTGCATGCGAATGTCTGTTATCTAAATTTTACCCTCCTTTCTGTATTTCTTTGGCTTTTCTTGATTTCTTTAAGGAAATCTATTACATTTCCCTTCCTCCCCTCAGCACTGCATGGCCTGATGTTCTTCCCATTGTATCATCTTCTACGTCTGGTCCCCAGCGCACATCAGTGCAGCTCACTGTGCCTTCAGTTCCCAAGGAGAAGAATAACATATCACTCTTGCAAAAGGCTGGCGATCATCCATTCCTCCCAGCTTTTCTCTGCCTCAGGAGAAAGAAGTATTGCTAAGTATGCCGTATTCTTTAAAATGCAGTGGTAATGGCTTTTTATATTTTTCCTGATAGTTTTTCTCTGTCTGTGTAGATCGCGTGCTCCCTGACAATCAGTATTCAAGTATTGACGAAGTGGCAACAGGTCATTACAAAATACCTTTCCTTTCTTGTTTGAGAAATCAACTGGGTAAGTATACTCTAATGAGGTGATAAGGCTGGCTACTGTAGATTGTATTGATGTGACCCTCAGGTGACCTCATCCGTTTACAGCAAAAGCAAACAGCAACATTAGAAATACCAAAGTCCCAAATTTATCTCGTTTAAGAACCTTTTCAGCATTTTAGAAACACTGTATGGGCATCTCTAAAGTGAGAAGATCTCTGAAGCTAGAAGAGCAGAGTGATTGTCTAAGTTAAGTCTAAGTGCAGTTGCTACTGTTAATTATTATTTACTGCTCCTGGAGGGGAGCAAAGTGCTCTGGAGTCCTGTAAATTAGCCAAGGTCCATACCCAAAGCACACATATGGTTTGTCTTAGCCTGGTAATAATGGTTCCAGAGGAAATTTTGGAAACACTACCCATGGGAAAAAGCAACTCTCACATAAATGACAGTCTTAGAGCAAATGTGTCATAACACATGCGAAGACACATACTAATTTAAGTCTATCCCATCATGTGAAACAAGTTAACAAGAAGGAAAATTGAACGTAGTTCATTCCATACTGAAAATATCTGGAATATGAGCATTTTTGAGAGAGGGATTAAAAAAAAAATTAGCATACTAGATGGGAAGTTCAGGTTAAAGAATTGAACTCTGAAGATGGTAATTAAGATTTATAGCTCAGCTTCTCATTCTACATTTGACATTTACTATACATTTGATCCTGCTTCATAAAATGAGGTTAAACCTTACTTAATTGTTTTAAAGGCTTTGTTTATTACATGTTAAGGGCAACAAAGCTGGTGAGAGGTCTGGAGAGTAAGTCTTATGAGGAGAGGCTGGGGGAGCTGGGGTTGTTCAGCTTGGAGAGAAAGGAGACTGAGGGGGGACCTTATCGCTCTCTACAGTTAACTGCAAAGAGGGTGTAGAGAGGTGGGGGTCGGTCTCTTCTCCCAAGTCACAGGTGACAGGACAAGAGGAAATGGCCTCAAGTTGTGCCAGGGGAGGTTCAGATTGGATATGACATTTTTACACTTAAAGGGTTATTAAGCATTGGAATGGACTGCCTGGGGAAGTGGTTGAGGCACCATCCCTGGAGGGATTTAAAAGATGGGTTGACATAGTGGTCAGTGACATGGTTTAGTGATGTTTTTTTATCAGTTAGGTTGATTTTTGGACTAGATGATCTTAAAGGTCCCTTCCAACCTAGACAATTCTACAATTCTATGTTTGCATGAAGTTTCAAAAGCCTCAGAAAACAGTACAGAAATACTATCCTATCCTACATTCGTGAAGCTTGACTCAAGGCGTTTCTTGGGCACATTTTTCTTGGGCATTCTTAAGGCAAACAAGTCCACTTTCTTTCAGTAGCGAACCCACCTGAAACCTCCGAGCAAGGTTTGGTGACGTTGCTACCCCGCTGTGTTTACCCGCAAATTTGTAATTTTACCGGAGGGCAGGAGAAAAACGGGCAGAGCGCACACGCGCCTTTCCATGCAAGCCCTGAACTGCCTTTAGGGCTTCCTCCCCTGAGCTCTTCCAAGCCCAAGGTGACGAAGAGCCCCCTGTTCCTTTACAGGAACCCATTACGGGCTCTCCTCTACCGAAGGCCAAGCCTGTGGCTGCGCCGGGGGAGGAAACCGCCCGGTCCCGCTGCCGTTTACCGGAGGGATAGGGCTGCGCCGCCTCGTTCCACCAAAGCGCTTTGAACCCTTCCTTTTGATTTTGTACTTTTTATTTAAAAAAAAAAACCACAACAAAACAACCCCCCAACAAACAGGCGCGATGGCGAACTCACCCTCCGCAGTCGCGCTCCTCCCTCGGTCTCCCTTGCACCCCGGCGGCCGCCGTTCTCCCTCCCTCTGTCCCCGTCCCAGCCCTCCTCCTGCCGCTCCACTCCCTGGGCGGTGAAGTCACCGAAACCGAAGTCCAAGCCCCCCTCGGCCACCTCCCGCCGCTGCCGCCAGCTCCTCCACCGCACCGCTGACCCGCCGGCGGGTCCGCCCTCGCGCCGCCTTCTTTCAGGAAGAGCCGGCTCCGGTGTCGCCAGGGCGATGCCACCCCCTTTTACAAAATAAGCCCGAAGCGCCTCAAATCCTTCCGGCTCCGGGGCGAGCTGAAGCGCTGCCCTCGCCCGGGCCCGCCCGGAGGAAAACGCGTTGCTGCGCGACGTGTCCCTCCCCGCGGCCCGTCGCCCCGCCGCTTGCCGTAGCTCAGGCGGAAGTGTTTCCTGCACCGCGCGTCGCAGGGGGCCCGTGAGGATGTTTTGGGCCTGGCGGGCGCGGCCACTGGCCCGGCCCGGGCTGCGGGCCCGGACGGGGCTCGCCCGGGGCTGGGCGCGCTCCGCCGCCTCGGAAGCCAACAGCCAGCAGCCCGCGGCGGAGAGCCGGCAGGATTCCCAGTACCGGGACACGGTGCTGCTGCCTCGCAGTAACTTCCCCGCGCAGCTACCGGGGCGGCTGCAGCCCGAGACCGAGGTGGAGACGCAGCAGGTAGCGGGGCCGGGGCTGGCTCGCCCGCGGGGTGCGGTGCCCTGGGGCCGGCGGAGGGGGTTTGTTTTCCGGCCCGCCGTTGCTGCCGCCTCCGTGCGGGCCTGGGCGGGGGCCTGGTCGGGCAGCCGGCGGGAGCCGTCGGGAGAAGGTGAAGGGCTGGGGAGCTTTAGGTGGTTGTTTGTATTTTTAGCTTCTCAAGTTTGCAACGGCCCTCCTGATGGCGGAGAGCCAGAGTGGTGCTGTGAGGCTTAGTATTGTGCCCTTCTCGGGCTTTTTTAGTAGTTTTGAACCGCTAATGTCTTCGGTTTAAGAGTTAGAAAAGTTGACTCTCCATGTTTGTCTGTTTGTTTTCAATATGTGTTTACTATGAAGTCAAAATTCAGACTTTTTGGAAGTGCTGAGGCCTGTGCTGATTCAGGTGTGGTGTTGTCTCTACAGAAGTGTGGTTTCTCGGAGCTGTATTCATGGCAAAGACAAAGGAAAGCAAAGCAGGAATTTTGTCTTCACGATGGACCACCTTATGCCAATGGAGACCCTCATGTTGGCCATGCATTAAATAAAGTAAATATTTTCTTGTTCATACTCTGCTGTTTTGAAGTGGTAAATAATTCCCGTAATGTGCTGTGTGTTCTCCATTCCTATTTAAATCAGTAACACTTCAAAGTGTTTGGTATTTTGGTAGACAGAGCTTTTAAAAAACAAATGACACGGTCACATAGATATGATATGATACCACGGCGTTACAGATACTATACCATGGCATAAATATTGTGTACCAGTATGTGGTACCTATATGCTGAGTGCTCATATATGAGGCTGAATATTTCAGTAAAGAGAGAATTTTTTTTTTTTAAGAGAAATTTCAGCCTTTGCTCCTAAGCAATGTTAAATGCACAGTTTATTCATGTATTGAACTTACCACACATGCACATATGAGTGTATATTTCTATATGTGTATACATAACAGTGTTACTGTAATGCATGGGTGGGATGTGCCTGGCTATTCTTTTATACTTTGAGCATTTTGTAAGTTTGTTATGTTGGATTTATTTTATTTGGGTATCCTCAGTGGAACCACAATGATCAAATGTTGATGGCTTTTAAAATATAAATTTCAGCTTTAAAATAATAATCCTAAATATATTTGGATGTGTTTAGATTCAGTCATGAGAATGACAGTGTTACATATGCTACAAAGTGGAAAAGACTAAAACGTGAGCCACAGCTTCTTACGGTACTAGTGCTAAAGCCTGGCCATCTGAAAATGTGTTGTTTTTTTTTTTATATAAGTAATCATCTAACAAAATATGTCAATGATATGCAGTAGGCCAACACTGTAGATCCAGCTTAATGTTTTAGAAATGAGAGCAAGTAGGACTTACTCACTTCAAGTCTTGCAAGTTTATAAACTGCATCTTTCAGTTCTAGTGAATATGAATTCCTTTGGTCAGAGGTCCTTTGAGGTTCTGCTAAAATACAAAATGATGGACAAGAAAAATCACAAATGCAGTATCTTAAAAGGCTGCATTATAAATTTTCATTTATAGATGTGTGTGTGTCTTTTTCATGAGAGTAACTTAGCTAATAATATAGCTATTCCACATGGGGGAGCTAAAGTGATAACAGACCCTTGTGTCTTTTCAGATTTTGAAAGACATCACTAATCGTTTCTACATGATGAGAGGTTGTAAGGTGCATTATGTGCCAGGATGGGATTGTCATGGGTTGCCAATTGAGTTGAAGGCGTTGTCAGAAGTCAAAGGAGCTGAAAATCTTTCACCAATGGAAATTCGACAGAGAGGTAGATTACTGTTTGCAATGTCTTTATAGAAAATGTTGGCTTACGTATTTGCACATCGTATTTTGTATTTTATGCTTTATATATAGCTTTTATACTTTATTGTGGGCTTTTATATTTGCTGCCGATGACGTTTGCTATGATCACTCTGCATATTTGCCAAGCAGATTGAGTACAGTGTAATCTTATGAAATGGGATAATTGAACACAGGCTTAACTTGTTGCTGTAATGAACACACATAGCATTGACCACAGGTTTGAAAAAACAGGAGGAGTGCAGAGGATTTGGATTTCTGCTTTGCTTAACTGTGTAGTGGCATGAAACTGTTATTTATCAGATCACCGTACTTTTGGTTTTTGAAAACTGAATTTAATAAGGAACTAAATAGACATATGTGAAAAACAGGCTTCATCAGGACAGCTTGGCTCAGTGTCGTAAATAGGAATGTATTTGTTGACTGTGGTTTTAACAATACCACAAAAGCACTTTCAGAGAAAGTTAGTCTGTATTATATGGTAACGTTTTTGAGGAAATAATTTCAATTACCGTATATGTTGAAAGACATCAACATTCAGATGCAAACCTATTTGTAATGAGCGATTTAAACTGCTTTAGCTTGAAATTGCAGCAATGAAATGGGCTAACTTATCTTCAGATATATGTTGCTTTGAAAGTTTGGATCAGGATCACCTCAACAGAGGTGGTTAATTTTCACTCTTATTTATTTTGTGTTATTTGAGAACACACTTTGAGAAATTGTTCTTCATAACTAAATCTGCCCTTTTTTTCCCCCCTTCTTCCTTAAAAAGAACATTTATATTTCAAAGATAAGTGCTGTATGTCCCCGTATTAGTCCAAACAATGCCACACCTGGATCTTTTTACTCTTTGCAATTACTTTAGGTAGCTAAATCTCTGAAATATGTATATTTTTGGAGTGATAATAATCTATTTAATCCACATTAGTAATAGTTTCAATCTGTTCAGTTCAGGCTTTTCTGAAAAACATTAATAGCATATTTTAAATGGTATTATGTTGATCTTAGTGGGTTAAGCCATATGCTTAATGGAATTATTCCCTTCAGCCAGAGAATTTGCAGAAAGAGCAATTGAGAAACAGAAATCCGCCTTCATTCGTTGGGGTGTAATGGCAGATTGGGCTAACTGCTACTGTACGTTTGATCCAAAGTATGAAGCAAACCAGCTGAGAGTCTTCTATAAAATGTATGATAAGGTATGTTGAACTTCTCTTGAAGTGTGTTTTGATATGTCATGATTCTTCGATTCTCCTAACTCTCTTCCCCCCCTGCCTTCCTTTCCTTTAGGGTTACATTTATCAGGACTATAAACCTGTGTTCTGGTCCCCTTCGTCAAAGTAAGAGTCAACTTACTATTTAATCTTTGAAATTTTAGCAACAATATCAATAGCTTTTCATGTTCAAGTGTGCTAACTTAAGATTGGTATCTACCCAGAACAGCCTTGGCTGAAGCAGAGCTTGAATACAACGAGCAGCATGTCAGTCGATCTGTGTATATGAAATTTCCCCTCTTAAAGTCACCACCTAAGCTGACTTCTGTGATAGGTATGACTTCTGTATCGATTTTAAGACCATTAGCTTTTATTTTTGTTATAATTGTGAGTAAAGTACTTCTCATTTGCATCTGTAGATGGATCAGCCCCTGCAAGTGTGCTGGTCTGGACCACGCAGCCTTGGACTGTGCCATCCAATCAAGCAGTTTGTTACATGCCAGATTCAGAGTATGTGTCTCTTTGGCTTGGTTCAGTGATCTGCATTAGTGCTTATCAATATTTATAAGCAAAGTTAAAAAGTCCTGGGTGGACTAGCATTACATTTTATTTAAGCCATCTTTTTTGTGTTTTGGTTTTTTTTGAGTGACTCGATTGTAAGCTTTGTTCTGTATCTCTGTTACTATATTTATTTCTGCTTTCATTTTTTTTTTTTTAAGATACTTCTTCCTAAAGTTACGTTATCTTGAAATTCTTTTGAGATTTAAGAGTGAGTTGGACATGTAGATATTAAACATTTTTTTTGCTGTCTTTTAGAGATGGAGCTTTTAAACAGTTTGTAGCTTTATGGTGTTTACAGTTATTTAGTATCACAAATATATGTTTGCATTGTAGGTATGCAATTGTGAAATGTACAGCTACCGGTGAACGCTTCATTCTGGCTGCAGATAGAGTTGAATCTACAGCTGCTGTTTTGGACACACAGTTTGAGGTTATGTCAACATGCAAAGGTAGGCTTTAATGTTGTTAAGTTGCTTAGAAATCTGCTTGTAGGTGTCTGAAAACTGCTTCTGTTTGGATATATTATTATGTTTATGTTTGGAGAACATGCTTCATTAAAATAAGACAAAGGGGAGCCATAATTTTTACAGACTTTGTATATATTTGAGCTATTTGTAGCTCAAATTTTCATCTGTAGAAGTACTCTTTAAAATCTGGATTCACACTTGCAATACTTAAATGTAGAGTGGAAGTCTGTTCAGTGTGAAAATCTTAATTACGCTGAATGCAGTTTCTGTCTTTCTCATCCCTTGTCGATGAGAACAAGAGGCTAATTACAAGTATGCTTGCTGACTTTCTGATTGCTAAATTCTATGAACACTATTGAAATTGCCTAGTGTGGCAGAATAGGCAGTGCTATCAGGTGCTGTTGTCATTTCATGGTAATTTCCAAGTTTTTCATTGCTAATATGTGTCTTAAGTCTTTACCATAACCATGAAGACTACTGAGGTATTGTAGAAGAATGTTGTCCATACGGACAAACTAAAGCAGTTAAAATTGCATCCTAACAAACTG